AACGTGATCTTGACAAGGTGTTCTGCATACAATTCCAATGAGAATATGTGATAGCATGAGTTATTATATCACTGACTATTAGGAGCTTTCAGTGATGTACTAACAATAAACAAGATATGCTGTCAAAGGGAATTTGGAAGTGACTGTAAGTGACTGTAAGTGAGTTGTTCTGTCAGTGAACTTTTCTTTTATTGAAGGAATGATTGGCTATAGGTTCAAATATATTTTGAAAGAAATTGAAACTTGAAGTGAAAGTGGAAGTGTGAACCCCATCATTTTTCCCAGTACAGTACTTTATAAAATGCTTGAAATTGTAAATATGCTCCACATTTACAAGTGCACATTAGGCTGAAAACCAAGTATTTATATTAATGTATAGTAACCTTTAAATAAACATTAGGTATAGTGGAGTTTCACCTGCAGGTGTTTTCATAAAGAATTGGATCAAAGTTTTTCAATGGAATTAGAAGGCATTACAAACTGAAAACAAAATAAAATCGCTTGTGAATATCACTCAAATAAACAAACCAAGTAATTGTTGTTTTTTGATTGGCATACAGTTCATATTTTGGGTGCACTGTGAAAGCACCAATCAACAACAGCATTTAAATCTGAAAAATGTACATCATCAGTGTTGTCAAAATTTTCCTTAAAGAATTGCTTTTTAAAATTTTATGGAGAGGTTTAGAATTTCAACTGGAATCATGTTTGACTGACTGATTGTTGTGGCAGACGTTCCAGAAATTTTCAAAATGTCTAGGTTTTACAGATTGGGAACCTGGTTTTTTTCATTTCTCATTAATGAAAGAATTCTTGTTGATATTAGTCAACAACATTTTTTCTCTGGTGAAGAATTGAGACAAGTGTGCTCAAACCCTTCTTTAGAGGATTCACATTTTGAAGAATTAGTAATATTCTTCAATTTCAACTGGAATCCTTTCTGACTGCATTTTTTGAGATAAGCTCCGTAAATTTATAAAATTTCTAGATTCTTGGTTTGGTCATATGATTTTCTTCATTTCTCAGCAGTTAACGATTTTTGGTTGCTCTTTTTCAAGGTCCTCTCCAGAGATCTTTGTTTAAAAATTGAGACCAGTACTGCAAGCCAGATGACTCTCTTAGTGCATATACAGTATATAAAGGATTGCTTTTTTTTATATACTTGGAAAGGCTTGGAATTTCATCTAGAATTATGTGTAACCGAGTGTTGCGGGAAGCGCTTTGAAAATGTTCCAAATTTTCAAGTTTTTTCTTCTTTAGGCAAATGGTTTCCTCGATTCACTCTCATCAAAAGTGAATAAGAAACACATTTCTTTTGCGAGTTTGGGATATGCGCCGCGAGCTCACAGCAGCGATAGCAGCCACGCTGGCAACCCTGTCACTGCCCTCCACCCTCGCCATCGACGACGACGTCAACCCCGACGGCCCAGTCTGCGGATTCGACGGCCTCACCTACAGCAATCCGTCGCAAGCCCGCGAAGCAGGCACCAGAGTGCGCCACTGTGCTGCCTGCGGGTCCTGTTCATCCGAACACGACGTCGGCATCTATGATCAAACTCGAAACACTCTGACCGCGATCGCCACTCATTGCGCACAGAAGGCGCTGCTGCTCGGGCCGCACGCTGCCCGCTCTTGCCTCTTCCGACGCGTCGCGTTTTCGCGACGATGCGAAGACTGCTGGGTCACCAATATCATGTGCTCCATCGAAGTGTGCGCCCCGACTTGCATTTCTTGGATGCTTTTCGGGGTGGGACAGCCCGATGGGTTGCTGAACCCGTGTCTCGCGTGCGACGAGAAGCGATGCGGTCCGCAGTTCAAGAGGTGTGCGGGTGCGACTCGGCGACGCGCTGGGATACTCACTGACATCCCGCGGGAACAGACTCAAGTGTGCACTGCTGCTGATAAACGTTGAAGCTAGAGGTCGCTCTCCTCGCAACCGGTGCTCCGCTCGGACGTTTTGTTCTCATTTTTGTTTGTGATGAAGCACATGAATTTCAATGCAAAACATTCCTGCCTATCTTTGCACAGAAGGAAAAGCTGAAGTTAAATTTTCCGTTGAATAAGTTTTCCTTGCAGTATTATTCCGTCGTCTGTATACAGTATATATCTCAGGGTAACTTTGTGTTGCTTTCCACGTTGTTCCGATGACAATATTTATGATGCGTGTGTCCATATACATTCTCCGCAAATATAGAGGTAACTGATCTAAGTGAAAAATACTAGTTCTTATCCATGAACCTGCTCTATAAGTTTTGTTGCATCTTGGAAGAACAATCCTTGATATCTCTCAGTATATATGCATCATAAGGTTTTATACTTAATACAAAAGTACCAAAAAATTATCAGATCTCAAAATAGAATACATAGAAGTACAGTATAATCTTCTGGTATGCGTGAGAGGGAATATTTTATTAATTCACTGCGAGAACGAGACCGAGCATATATACTGAATCGCTGAAGTATCAACAGAAATGGGGCGACATCTTGGTTAGTTGATAGCAATCTACTGATTACTGTATTCTCAACTGTGCAGTGAGTCGCTGCTGAAGAAATGATCCGCGCAAACAAGGTAGACTGCAGAGCGTCTGGCAAAACTTTTCGGATGGGAATAATCGTAAAAATATTAGCAGGAAAACAATTTCCTGCACAAAATGTGTTTTTCAAAAAGTGAGGGAATATCAAGTGGATTTTGTTTTGGAGCCACAATATCCTTCGAAATGTGTTTTCTTTCCCAGTGTTTGAACCTCTCCAATAAATTTCAAGTATACTCTGGGGTCAAATTATAAGATATGAAATATTTGGCTACAGCAGTTGACATCTGCTTGCTTCATGAGTGAAGGTCATCACCTTGTGTAGCTCATTCCTGATGGCATTCTAGCATTATGAATCTATCATAAGAAATTTTTGCATTTTCACTTAGCTTACAATATAATACAAATTAGATTTCCCAGAAAACTTAATAATGGAAAATGTTGGCTGGAACTCAAATTGAGATTGGAACAGAATTGAATTGGAAAATTAATACACATTGTCAATGACCTGGGCTGCAGGCAGGACTTTTTTCCTAAATAGTATACAGTTGTTGCATTATACTTCAAAAAATATATTTCTTTGAAAAATTGAACTGATGCGCAAAATTCAAGGGATTAATTTAAACAATACCTGAAAAATTGGTGAGTGGCTTGCTCTCTCCAGAGATCAGCTTAAGTTTATGGCACAACTCAGAATTTCCTGAGGAAGAGAGAATTGGAAATCAGATTTCTTTTTAGGAGTAATCCTGTAGGTTGAGATTGACCACTTTCAAGGAAACTACTTTTGCTTGCCCTTGTGGGCAGAACAGTAGGGACCATACTTTGGTTCAGGTCACAGGCTCATCAGGAATAGGTTTGAACCCTTGTGTGGCAAAGTTGGGACATTAAGAAAAAAATGTGTTCCCACATGGGCTGCAAATTTAAAATATACAATTTCTGGGCCAAGGCCAAAGTCAGGAAAAAGTCCAATATTTTACTATAATCCTGCAGAAAATGTTCGCTCAAAAATAAAAATTCCTCCCTGGGTAGCATTGTTTCATGCCCTCCCCACATAGGATCAACATTGGGAATTTCTTGGGACAGAGAGATTTTCTGCACTTGGTTTTTTTCCCAACTTAGGCCATGGTAAACTGGGAGAATTCCAGTGACCATTGGTCAAACTGAAATGTCCTGCCCCAAAAAGAATTCTGACCTCGCCACAGGATGGCCAGGAACCCTCTTCATGCTGTCCAATGGTTCAGTAAGAAAGATTTATGCTAATTTTGGAAGGAGTCATTCAGATGCCTCCAGACCAAATTTTTTCTGACAATCTAATCAAGAATTGTTTGAGTCAATTTTTGTCCAAATTATGTACTTCTGCAAACCTTACATGTCTTTGGTGAAGGATTTTCTCCCTCTGTTTTTGGTCATTTTTCATAAATGGGAGTATTCACTCACTGATATTGGGCCTAAGTTATGCTGTAAGACATTTTTTTCTTACAATAAAGAACAGAGCTATTAGTATTAAAATGAAGTTTCTCTCAAGCCTATTCTAAAGATAAAAGATTGACGCATCAATACTATACAGTAATATTATCCTGGCATTCGGTTATTTGATGAGTATATACCAAAGACGCTTTTGCTTGGGGGAATAGTTTTTTTGTTTGGGGGATGGCAAAGATTTTTGCACAAATTGTTCGATGTATTCTTCATTCTATTTTTATTTTTGAAAAATGAAATTCCTTTACTTTGGAGTCCAAATCAGGATTGTGTTCAAAGTTTTCCTGCACCTTGGCAATGTCTCTTTTGCGTGCTGAATTTCGTTGCTTTTGTATTGGAATCTTTCCTGAGAAGCGTTTTGTGAAGAGTTCCAAAGGAGCATTAAAATAAACTTTTTTTCTGCCCATGTTTGAGCTTGTCATTGATTTTCCTTTGCAAATTTTCAGCGCAGGACGACTTGTGCCAACAAATCACAAAAAGATTGACTCATTTTCTCTTGCTTCTGCCTACTCCAGCAATTTTCCCACTGCCTCGTACGAATGACACAATCATCCCGCGGAAAAAATGGTTTTTTTTTCTTTTGTTTGTCAAAGTGGGGAAAATCTCTGTTTGTTTCTCACATAAGAGAGATAAAGTGGACGAGATCTGAAAAAATGATCACCCTGAGATTTCAGTGGAAAGTCAGAGCTCATGCGTAAATGTTCTCTAGAAAACCGAATTTTACTCAGTTCAGAATCAAGAAGTATTTGGTGCTTTTCGGGACCCTGCAATTTTGCACCGCCATCTTCATTCTGCGATTTATCTCCATCTGTGTGACGAGTCCTGATGACGAGGAACTGGAATGTGATAATGAGGCCCTGTTTTTGCAAAATTATCCAAGGATAACAAACGACACTTCAGTGGCTTGCAGACTTCTCTTGATTCCCCCAAATGCTTTATTGAAACAATTGAAACAAACACCAAGTACTCCCAAAAAGACCAAAAGAAAAAATGGTACCATTAGCACAGCAAAATCCCAATATCATGCAGATGTTGGAGAAATGCTTTCTGAACGGGGTAACTGTGAGCAACAGGAGCCAAGTTGGGTCACCTTTCAAAAGCAACACGCCTTCAGGGTTGCCAAAGTGAATGAAGATTTACTTGGGAAAGTTGTGTGCAATTTTAGTGGTGAGCCTCTGAAACAAATTCTGCAATTAGTTTTATTATTGTTGTTATTTATTTTTGAATGTGGAAATATGAAAATTGTCTGCAGAAATTTATAGGGTCGATGACTACATTTATTTGCTACTTCAATGGACCTCAGGTGAGGAATACACCTTGCAATACTCTGATATTTTGGCAGTGAACTGCTCACATCTGCACAATGCAAAGAAGTGAGGAAAAATTCACTGATTTCACTTGAAGTTTCATTATTACTTTTAATATATTGAACATTTCAGATGGAGAGATGTTTTGTACTCACCACTGGACATGAGACTGCTGAAAAAACACCAGACAATGGGAAAAGAGTATTTACCATCAACAGCTGTGGGTTTGAATGTGCTTGTGTGGCTGTTTGACTCAACAACCAGAAACAATTACATTCGACACTTGCCAAAAGCTTGGCATTATATGGAGAATGTCATGAAGGGGACATTGTTCAGGGGTTACAATGTGGTTGGAATCAACACATTGCCAAATGTGATGCCTTTACATTTGGGTATGTCAAAAGAATAACTGCCAAAATTGTTGTGGAATTAGAAGGGCTTCTAAAATATATGTTACTTAGGGACTGTGGTCTAATTTGTTTAGGTTAATCAAAGAAAATTATTTTCTAGCCTGATCATGGAAAATGTTCCTTTTCAAAGAAGCCTCATCAGCAAAAAAAACTAGTACTTTTTGTCATGCCTTGTTCAAGTCCCTTGACACAACTGAATAAAACAGCTAATTAACCCTCGGATGGCAGAGGGTTCTTTCCCATAGTGGGACAGAGTCGGATTATTTTTGTATCCTCCCGCATTTTCAGTCTTGGGAAGGTCACCAAAACCCTTCCAGGTTGGCTGAGGCAAAGTTGGGATTAATCCAAAAAAGCGGGTAGCCTAACTGAGAATTATTTTTTTGCCCGCAAAATTTTTCTGTGCTCAGAGAAAAAAGCATCCGTATTTTTCCTGACTTTGCCCTTGACCACCTGTTATCATTTTTTTCCAAACCTCTCTGAGATGCCACAAAATTTCACAAAAATAGTCCGACTTTGCTGCACAAGGGTTAAAGATAAATAAAATTAATAAGTACCAACTGCATCTGAATTTTGAAACATTGCATATATTTGTATTTGTGTGTGTTTCCAATACAATATTTTATCATTTTGAAATTTGTTGTTGCCAATGCATCTCTGGCTCTAAAAAAATTTTGAACAAGGTTTCATATTCCCATTTGATATTGCATTCATTTCAATATTCCTTGTGGTAAGGATATCACCTTTGTAATTCATTCAAAAACTAACTCTTGATTCAATATGCTTTCATTATAAAAATGTTTCAATGTTTGCATTTTTTTTTAATATTGACATGAAAACATATACCCTCCTTTTTTAAATTTTTTCTTTCATTCTCAAGCATCCTGAATTTCCTGGGTATTCTGAAAGTGGAATTTCGATTTTTTCAGGATACTTCAACCAAACATGGCTGCACACAGCTCAGAGGAGATATGCAGAGGACTCAGTCATGGGAGCATCAACACTTTTTTCCAGATTTCAAAAAAGGGGTTATGCAACTGGGTACTATGAGGATTGGCAGTTCCCAAGAGAACATGGTACCTTTCAAACATGGATGCATATGAGGGGTTTCAAAAATCCTATGGCCCTGCATCATTCCAGAGCATTTTTCATCAACAGAGGAAGAACTACTGGTGATACAACTCCTCTTTGCATTGGCAATTTATCCATGAACAGGGTGAGTATTCCTTGAAAGAAGCAAAGGAAGCATTAATCCACTCATTGCACAATTCTATAAATTTACTCAACATTTTCATTACAATGTGGTTATTTTTCCATATACCAACAGATAAAAAAAATATCTGACTACACCACAATATTCCTATTATGATAGTACTGTAGTGATTGAGAAAAACTCTGATTATGTCACATATTGTGTTACAGTACAACCAGGAGTTGGTGAAAAATTGGTGGAGCAGTTACAAGGATGTTCCAAAATACTTTTTCTACCATGGGTCCACTTACACGCATGAAGATGATGAGAACTTGTCAGTGATTGAAGAAGAATTCCTGGACTTTCTTCACTGGGCTAATTCACAGCTTCAACACAATACAGTTCTTGTGTTCATGAGTGATCATGGAAATTACAGAAGCAGTCCTTTGTGGCCTTCTCTGCAAGGACAGTTGGATATATCTCTTCCAATGCTATACATGGTGCTGCCAGAATCCTTGAAACAAAGATACCCACACAGAGTGTCAAAACTTGAAGAAAATGCTGCTGAGAGATTGTCAACCCCACTGGACCTGCACAAAACATTGGAGCATTTTTTGGACTTTTCAGCTAATAAGCAAGCCAAGGTTGGTGAGGTTACCAAATTTGGCAGTGAGGTAAAACGCTGGGTGGACCCAAGAGGACTGAGTCTATTTTTGGATACCCCCAAGAAGAGGACTTGTGATGATGCTGGGGTTGATGTACATTTCTGTGCCTGTTTGGAACCACAGAGGGTCAAAAATGTTCAAGAAGCAAAGGTAATTTTGTCTACAAATATATTCAATTCACAAAATATTTGTACAATCACACAAACATAAAATTAGAGAGCTTTAAGAGAGTCTTTCTAAAATGTTCCTCAAGTCTCTCTGAGAAATAACTGCAAATGACTCTAGATTAACTCTGAAGAAATATGTGAGAAGGAAGGTATATTTATACCTTCCTGGAAATATAAAATATAGAGGCAGAATATTTGCCTAGATTGAGGAACTTTGGGTTCCTTGAACACTGATGAATATATATACATCCAGGTATATATCTACAAATATAAATAATATATATGCACTTGCAAGTTCAACAGAATAGGCTTCTTCTAAATTGGCAGTTTAGAACAAGGCAGTGCAAGTTGTTTGTCACTGTCAACAAATAGCAAGTTGAAAAGGAGAAATGCACAATAATGACCATCATGCATTAATGTGGGCTGACGTGATGGAGGGGGAACCAAAACAAAAGGGGAACAGCTGCAAGGAAGCAAATACCTTGTTGAGAAGGATCTCCTTCCAAATAAGGAGAAAAGAAAATAATCACAATTTGGTTTTTGGGTTACAATACTGTATATCCAAAATTTCTTAGCTTACAGATTGAAAAAGATTTGTTTTTTTTTGAAAAAGGTGAAAAAGATAAGATGAAATGAGCACAATTTAATCAAATTATAAAATCATAAATTGCAAGTAACTCTCCTTCAAAAATTTTATTCACTGCAGTGCATAAATAAAATAACACCTGCTTTTGAGACAGACATGTTTATCATAAGCTATATTTGAACTTTGCTGATGGCTTCTTTGGCAATATTCAATATATTCCAGGCTATAGAAAAATGCACAAAATCAGCACTGCGAATGATCAACACTCATTTAACTGATGAGCTTGGAAGCTTGAAAGTTAATGCCACCATTTGTCAAAACTGGGAACTGGTGGAAGTTTCAAATGCTTGGCTTTTGAAAGGACCTGGTGATTATTTCATCAACTATATTCTGCTGATCCTTCATGATGAGCTAAAATTGTTTACAGGTGTAACCTTGAAAGAAGTGAACAGGACTGTGGTCAAAGGTCATTTCATGAAAGATGACTCCCACTATTCAATCTCTTTTGTGGCAAACCCTGGAGCTACAAAATTCACTGCCACTATCCATTACAACCTTTTCTTTGATCGCTGCTTAACCAAGGTAGAAACAGATTTGAAATTTAAAGATTTTTGATCTGTGGAGAAGATTCCAATATTTAAAAAGCAATTTTTTCACAGTTGGAGCAAGTTTCCAGGAGAGACAGGTATGACAGACATTCTTTCTGTGTGGACAACTTGGCTCCTCAATTGAAGAGATGGTGCTTCTGTGCTGGACAAGGGAAAGCCTTGAGAACTGCCTGGTCTTGAAAGCTATCTTGAATGGGCAAAAATGTGGCAATGAAATAATTAACTCTTGCTCGTCAGTACATTATTATCCACCTTTTGGTTGAGCAAGAATTTTTTGTGAAATTTTGGTTTGAGCAAAGTTCATTCATTCATGCTGCTTCCAAGAGGCTGAGTAGCTCATATAAAACATTTCATATGAGATAGCTTGACTCTTTTTTCAAAAGTATTGTATTTCAATCCTACATTGCTAAGAGTTTAAAACATTAGAAAATTCAGGGATGATTTTATATTTTTTAGCAAACGTTTTGGAAGGTGAGAGAAAAAATGGACTCTTATAATAATTGGTTATTGGTCACATAGTGAACAGTATAGATTGATTTTATTTCTGTGTTTTTTGGCACTGAGTTTTTAGAAATTGTCTTGACTCTACCACAGAAATGTTGAGAATTACTTCTGAATGATGGTATACATTAGAGATACAGTACAATCTTTGTGACTTATACATTATGCCAGTGAATTTACTAAAAACAAAAAAAAACTTACATAGCAAAATCAATTTCCACCCAATAATCCAAGGATTCAAGGGGCTCAGAACTCCTGAGATACAGCAATTCAATTTTTCCCCCCAGGAAGTTTTAAGTGAAGACTGCAGAGTGACCCTTGCTGATCATAGTACAAAGCAATAAAAAAACAAGGCAACAATGAAAAATAATATTTAATGCTCCTGGATTTGCTATTACAGTATAATAAATGTTTAATATTATACCTTGCTTACGTAATTTATAACTCGCATTCAAAATTCTGTAAAATATTTGTTTTCCTTTATGAATGCATTGTCAAAGATATTTTTTTGTAAATCATTGCACATATCATTCAACTGAGAACAAGAGTGTGCTTGAGAACATGATATACCCGCATGTCATCAGGAAAGGAAAGAAAGTGTATGTATTTACATCAGTTGTGCAATTGTATGTTTTGGGATATATTTTATCTTCTTTTAATGTCCATGTTCAACTTAATTCTCTGTTTTCCATTCTGATGTGATGGAATGTGTTTGTAAGAATGTTGGTGGGGAGAGGAGAGGGTTTTGATGCAGGATCATTCCTTGAACATAGTGAATGCTGAAAAGCAGAAAATAAAGCTTGCTGTTCTATTCAATTCAATACCAGCATGAATATGACTTGTTGATTTCTGCATGAATCCTACTTCTTCTAAAATAAACAGCTGATGAATTTGATCAAAGATATGCAGCATTTCATCAAACTCAAACAATAATGAGTCAGGCTCAACAAGTTTGCCTGTGACATGAAGTGAAACCTTTGTGTAGTGTAGAAAAACTTCCAAAGGCTTCCATAGTGAAAAATCAAGATGAAAAACAGGCATCATGAAAGTGTATTCATTTCAAGACAAACTGTGTAAAACATCACAGGTAAGAGAATAAAACGAATCTTCAACAACAAAACAAGATGATCAATTCCTGCTTCACAATAAAGTAAGCAGCACAAAAAAAGCGTTCGTGCAAAAGGTGCAAAATCTTTGGTGAATTTCAATAATGTCTTTGGCAACAACACAAAAATTGCAAACGTTCAAACATGACTAGATTCCCTCATACGCTCAAATATGGCATATGTAGGTATGACAGACATTCTTTCTGTGTGGACAACTTGGCTCCTCAATTGAAGAGATGGTGCTTCTGTGCTGGACAAGGGAAAGCCTTGAGAACTGCCTGGTCTTGAAAGCTATCTTGAATGGGCAAAAAAGGGGCAATGAAATAATCAAGTCTTGCTCGTCAGTACATCATTATCCACCTTTTGGTTGAGCAAGGATTTTTTGGGCTTTTAAAGTGAATTTTTGTTTGAGCAAAGTTCATTCATTCATGATACTGCCCAAGAGGCTGAGTAGCTCAAGTAAAACATTTCGTATATGAGAGAACTTGACTCTTTTTTCAAAAGTATTTTATTTCAATCCTACGTTCTAAGAGTTCAAAATATTATAAAATGCAGGGATGATTTTATATTTTTAGCAAACGTTTTGGAAGGGGAGAGAAAAAATGGACTTTTATTATAATTGGTAATTGGCCACATAGTGAACAGTATAGATTGATTCTATTTCTGTGTTCTTTGGCACTGAGTTTTTAGAAAATGTCTTGACTCCGCCACAGAGATGTTGAGAATTACTTTTGAATGGTATATATTAGTGATAAAGTACAACCTTTGTGACTTATACATTATGCCAGTGAATTTACTAAAAAATAAATAAAACTTACATAGCGAAATCAATTTCCACCCAATAATCCAAGGATTCAAGTGGCTCAGAACTCCTGTGATACAATTCAATTTTTTCCCCCAGGAAGTTTTAAGTGCAGACTGCAGAGTGACCCTTGCTGATCATAGTACAAAGCAATAAAAAAAAACAAGGCAACAATGAAAAACAATATTTAATGCTCTTGGATTTTTTATTATAATAAATGTTTAATATTATACCGTGCTTACTTAATTTATAACTCGCATTCAAAATTCTGTAAAATATTTGTTTTCCTTTATGAATGCATTCTCAAAGATAATTTTTTGTAAATCATTGCACATATCATTTAACTGAGAACAAGAGTGTGCTTGAAAACATGATATACCAGCATGTTATCAGGAAAGGAAAGAAAGTGTATGTTTTTACATCAGTTGTGAAATTGTACGTTTTGGGATATATTTTCTCTTTTTTTAATATCCATGTACAGCTTATTTCTCTGTTTTCCATTCTGATGTGATGGAATATTTTGAGAGAATGTTGGTGGGGAGAGGAAAGGGTTTTGAGGCAGGAACATTGCTTGAACCTTGTGAATGCTGAAAAGTAGAAAATAAAGCTTGCTGTTCTATTCAATTCAATATACCAGCATGAATATGACTTTTTGATTTCTGAATGAATCCTACTTCTTCTAAGATGAACAGCTGATGAATTTGATCAAATATATGCAGCATTTCATCAAACTCAAACAATAATGAGTCAGGCTCAACAAGTTTGCCTGTGACATGAAGTGAAACCTGTGTGTAATGCAGAAAAACTTCCAAAGGCTTCCATAGTGAAAAATCAAGATGAAAAACAGGCATCATGAAAGTGTATTCATTTCAAGACAAACTGTGTAAAACATCACAGGTAAGAGAGTAAAACGAATCTTCAATAACAAAACAAGATGATCAACTCCTGCTTCACAATATAGTAAGCAGCACTTTTTTCGCAAGCACGTTTTCCACGTTTTAGAAACCACTTAAAGTTATTACAGAAACCGTTGTTGTGTTTTTAACGTTTGCAAGTTTGTACTGATCTAAGGGAGTATGCGAGTTTATACCGTATACACATTTGTGCATTTTATTCTCTTTCAGTTGCTTCAACCGTCAGATGATACTGTGCAAAAATTTGCGAGTGATCTCGAAGGTTCTCACTTTCCGTACCTGCAATATTAAGGATAAAATTAGCAACACATATGTTTTCATTTTTGCTCATCAACAACATTTTTAGAATGATATATTCCCTTCCCAGATGTTTATTATTTGTGTCCAAATACTATGGGTTTCACTTCCTGCAAAACACTTCGAATCTATTAAATTATTTTTTTAAATAAAATTGTTCTGCTATATTTTCAAGTGTGATTTCCTTCAAGATATAAGGAAAATCTTTGCCATATATTCCAGTCACAAACTCAGAAAATTCCTTGAACTTTGAAAACTGTCATTTTCCTCTCTGAAATGCATGTGTTTTTAGGGCTATGACAGATTTAAATTTTGTCCAATTGTTTTTCAGTGTTGGATATGCCTTTGATAAAAGGGTTCAAGTTCAAACCTTTAATAAAGTCATAATTTTTGTTCCACATTGCTTTTGTCATACAAAGTAAGTTTATAAGAAATCTAGGTTAAAATGTTCTTTTTATGATTCTTAAATTCATGAGGGACCCAAATATGTGGAAGCTTTGAACATCAAGTATAACAAGAAGACTGAGTCAAAAATGTATCTTTTTTTCATGGACAAAAATAGTATTAAAAAAGAAGAATATAATGTGAATATATTTCAGAGAATAAGATTTATACTCACCCAGAGCTGCTGCTGTGCTTGTGATACTTGTGTCCATGTCCATGCTTGTGTCCGTGCTTATGACCATGCTTGTGGCCATGTTTGTGCCCATGCTTGTGGCCATGTTTGTGTCCATGTTTGTGGCCATGCTTGTGGCCATGTTTGTGACCATGCTTGTGTCCATGCTTGTGGCCATGCTTGTGTTTGTGGTTGTGGCTATGCCAGTGTTTGTGATGGTGGGAATGTGCATGTTTGTGTTTATATACTCTGCAATAAATTTCGTACCCGACTAAAAACAGGTTGTTTGTGGTGTGTGTGTGTGAGAGAATACTATTTAGAACTTCTTTACATAAGTTGTAAACTCGTCCATCTCGTCACTAGTTCAATTTGAAGGTTCGAAACCTATAAAATCATTCAGATTTTCCAAAATTTTCTGGGCTGCAATAGCTCTCTTTGAATTTATTGAAAAAGTTTTTCTTGAAATCAGTAATTTGTTCCTGTCATTGACAGATTGTACCCCTTAATTCTGGGCACTGTAAACAAAATATTTTTACAATTTATATTTTTTATAAGCATAGCATACAAATAAAAAGATTTACAGATTCAACAATTGATTGTTTGCGAGACACATCATGCTTTTTTAGATGTACATGGATTGATTATTGCTTTCATTTCTTTGATGGATTATTGTAAAAATAATCTTTTGGACTTCAATCTATCTTCATCAGGAAGTTTATAGTTTTGAAGCGAGAAACTTTTCTTCAAAATGAACAATGCTAATTTTTCAAAAAATTTTGAACTTATTCTTTATTTTTATATATTCATATAGTAACTGTCATTGGTTTTTCATCATTTTTGATTTTTCAGTTAGGAAACTTTGTAATGCATTTTAGTAAGTTTCAAAAATTTGAGCCTTTTACTTAATTTCATGACTTGATGCTAACCTAATGAAATCCTTTAAATATGAAATCTTTTGTTTGGCCGTTGTGCAAAAACTAATCCAACAGCATTGTATTTTTTTCCCAGGTTTTATTGGACAAACTTCGTAAATTATTTAATGCCAGATTTTTCTGTGCCATTTTTTATACTGTAGTTACATCTCCTCAAGTGCATTTTAGAATGTGAAAATAATCATTGAACTTTCTATTACTGTATTGCAAAAAATATTTTTGTTTCTCACTCACTTTCCATGACTGCTGTGTCTTCCTGAGGAACTTGAGTAGCCAGGTTCTGGAGCAGCATTTGGACTGGCTAAAGCATTTGCTTCAGGGTCTGCAGATGCCTGCTGTATCACCACCACAGCAACAGCAAACAGCAAAAATCCTAGTGACACCTTTTTTGCAGAAATCAAATTTTGCATTCAGCATCACTCGATGGCTTTTGACGACATATTCGTCCTCAATTATTCAAAAAATATAGATTTTTTTATTAAAGTAAGACACTCACTCTCATGTTGATTTTTGTTTGTTGTTTAACAAATGGGGGTTTTTTTTTTTGGATTTTAGCCACAGGAAGCTTCTGTTGACACTGATGAGAGTGTGGAAGTTTCGGCTGATTTTTATACTCGTCTCAGCCCGAAAATTCTTCCTGATGCAGCGCGCGGAATTTTTTTCCGTGTTCGTAATACTTTTTTTTTTCTTTCTTGTTGTTCATCTATGTATCTTATCTAATCTATCATCTTTTCGTGGAATTTCCCCGACAATTTCAAGACCAGGAAGTGAACATGCCTCGGCTGTTTTTTTTGTGCTGCTTTTAATCCGTAAATGGGCGCGGTTGCTTTTTTTATTTGCGGATTTCGTCGCTCCAGAAAAAGTCCATAGTTTCAGTGATGTAACAATCTAATTCCGGGGCTTTTCTTTTACCATGAGATGGTAGATTTAAGGTTTAATAGCGCGGAAAATTGCGGTTATTGCCAATAACTTGAGTACAACAAGCATTTTTTTCTCTTCGATCATCGTGTGAATCTAGAAAACGGAAGCATTTCCGCGATATACACGCGGGAAACCATTTTTTTTTTTTGCGTTGCAATTTTAGGAATTTCATCACCCAATTGCGTTTCTTCATTGGTTTTTGTATTTCTGAACGTGATACATTTTGTGAAAGATGATGTCAAAAAATTGTTTCCGCATTTTATTGATTATTGCCGATTGAAAACTTTCGGCATTGCGAAGTGATTCAATGTGCTCCTTTATTAAATTGCCACACATATCTTTTTGGATTGATACCTTTTTGTCAAGCAGAAGCAATTTTTCTCTCTGGATTATTGCATTTGATTGCAAGATAAATTGGGGAGCTTGAAGAAAATTATAACTTTGAAAATCCTTCTCAGCTGTTGAGAATGAACAGTTTTCTTGTATCAGTTGCCCATTTTCATGTTTGAAATAACATCAGGCAAGCTTTGAAAATGATTGAAACTTACATAATGCATCATGTGATGCAAGAATCTTATTTTCCAGAAAGTACTTGTATTATAGACCAAAATTATGCATATTTTCAAATGTGGAACACAGATGATTTCTACAAAAAATTCATGAATTGTTCTACAGGTGGTACCTTGCAATTTGAACCTAATCTTTTGCAAAACTAGGGTCAAATTGCATAAGCAGTAAAATTGCAAGAAACTTTGTGAAATTCAAAAATGTCACTGCAAAAATGTAAAAAATGGCCAAAGCAGGTTAAGTTGCAGGGCAAGGGTCTAATTGTGAGTCAACCTCATCCCTGCAAATTCAACCATCAAATTTTGTGACAGTTGCCTTGCATGAGTTTGAATTGTGAGGTACCACGCCTGTATCAATACAGGTGCTATAACTCAACATTTGACCCTAATCTGTTTCAAAACTAGGGTCAAATTACATAAGTAGTCAAATTGCAAGACACTTTCTGAAATTCAAAAATATAACCTTAACCCTTGGACAGCGGAGGGTTCTTTCTCAGTGCATGGCAGAGTCAGGATTTTTCTGGGGACGGCGCATTTCAGTTGACCCAAGGTTACTAGCTGAAATGCGCCCAGGTTGAGGAGGACTAAGTTGGGAAAAATCCAGGAGGCAAATGTTCTTTTGTTCCCAAGATTTTTCCATGCAACTCCTATGCCAGGAATGCAGGAAGAAACGCCACCCAGCCAAAGATTTTTTTTTTAACTTTCATTGAAAATTTTCTGCAGGATTAGAAAAAAATCTTGGATTTTTTCCTGACTTAGCCCAATTGAGCATAATGGTGAAAAAATCAAGTTGTTTTTATTCCCAGTGCCCAGTGGCACCAAATTTTGAAAAAATGTCCCAACTTTGCTGCACAAGGGTTAAATATGCAAAAAGTGGCCAAAGCTTTCAAATGGTTGGGCAAGGGTCAAATTGTGAGTCAACCTCCCAGCAAATTCAACCATCAAATGTTGGAATGGTTGAATTGTGGAAGGTCAAATTGTGAGGCATCACCTATATATCAATATATGCATTCTTGCACAGGTCACAGCAATTACAATTGAAGTGTGTTACTGTAGCACAGTAATACAATACTTATTTACAAGATAGGAATTTTTGACAATTGAATGAGATTTAAAAAGTGTTTGCAAGAACTGCATGCCAAAAAATATAAATTGAGCATAATGTATTTGATTTATACTACATTTTGCCAAGATGAGTATAGTTGTAACATCAATAATATGCTGAAATAAACATAAAGCCTTCAAAATCACTATTTCATAAGAACAAATCTCTTTGTCTGAGTATTCTTTAAGAAAACTTGAGAAACATGAATTTGAAAGCAGAAAATCATTATTTTTCATATGTAAATTGTATTAATAAATTTGAAAAAAAAAACCGAGAGCTATTTCCGCAAAAATCTTGGCCAGCATCACATGATGGACCCCTTTATTCAATTATTTTCTCTCACTCCATTGAATATGACGTTATTTGCTGGGGCATTTTTTTATTTTTCACGATTCATTTTTTCTAAATGGTTCCTGGTCAGCATTCTTTTTAAATCTTCCTCCCCGTTGGAATCCCCGGACGTACTTCCAGTAGCAATAAATCATCATCATCAACCATTGGTCATCAAACTGGAAATGAATCTCACCAGGAAGTCCGCTTTGGTTGGCTGCTCAAACGCGGGATATAACGCAACTCCTCCTCGTATAATTCCGATGAAAAACAACAAGATTCCGAATATTTTTGGGAGAAAAGCTGGTCATGAATGAGTTTATAAAATATAGATGACGTTTATGATGAACAATAACAGGAAGAAAAAGAGGAAGAAGAAGCAGTAGAAATATAAAGATTAATTATAGAAGCTTGTTCCTATTATTTTAGGTGCGGAAAATCCAAGAGGAAAATAGACCGGTTCTCGGATCTGCGTTTCACAGTTGGCGCACTTTTTTTGCGGACGCGCCCACAAAACTGCGTCATTTGTCACTTGGCTTGACTTTGTTGTGGGGAACATCTTTCCTCCTCATAGCATATGGTTTTGTAATTTTTTCTCCATCTCATTTTTAATTGGCTTCTCTGATGGGCAGCTATTATGTGGTAATTTTTGGGGGATTTTTCGCGCAATAATTTAATTGAGAATAATAAGTCAATTGAAGGATGAAATTCCCATGGAACCAGCAGGGAAATACTCCAATACTAGGGCAGATTTTTATTTTTATTTATGCAATGTCTTGAGTCTTTTGGCTGGTATACTCAAGCATATACAGTGAACCCCAGCACAATGGACTTAATTTTTGAAACAGACTACAGTCAACCCCTGTCTAACGGACTTGATTCGTGCAAGGGACGAGTCTGTTAGACAAAAATTCCTTTACACAAATTCAATTACATAAAAAATTAAAAATTTCAATTTTCAACACTAATTTTAAACCAAAAGAAGTCTGTTTGGCAGATTTTGTCTGTTGGGCGGGAGGAAAAACTGCTTGCAGAGCTGGTCTGTTTGGCAAGAATCCCTTACACGGGAGGTCTGTTAGGCAGGGGGGCACTGTAGTCTGTTATTTGGAAAGTCCTTTAGACAAATTCAATCATGAAAATTGAAAATTTTCATTTTTATCATTAATTTTAAACCAACAGAAGTCTGTTTAGGTAGATTTTGTTTGTCAGGTGGGAGGAAAAACTGCCTCCAGAGGCAATCCATTAGGCAAAAATTCTATAGGTAGAAGGTCTGTTATAGGCGGGGTTTACTGTAATGCACTAATTTTATTTCCACATACAGTTGGACCCTTGAATCAATGACCATGAACTTGTCAGCAACAATTGTCTTTGTACAACATATATATTTTTGGGCCCACAGAGTTCCCCATGTTTGAAGAGTTCTCTAAAAAGCACTTTTATGGTCCTTTGAATTTCACTGTAGAACAAATCCACCAGTATTTACTTCTTTTATTGCTACTGATTTTGAAGTTTGGGGGAAAATTAAATATCTTTTACAGCATATTTGATTAAAAATTATTCAGCAAATGATAAAAGATCTGCATTGGTTTCAAATTTTTGTAATGTGACTCCAAAACTTGAACCAATCCAAAATGACTCTGTTTTTATGATATTTTGTAAAAGGACTCTGCTTGTGATGTCCAGGAAAATCAAACTTTGAAAACATTGACCAATGATGAGAAAAGTTGTGTCTGACCATTATGATTATTGATTGGAACAAAATTGGAGCAATCCTATCATCCAGAGCAGATTTTCATGCTGGGGGTCACAGGAGCCATGAATCTGGGAAACAGCAAGCTTGCATTATGATTTGGGCTACATCCCACTGCTCATTTTTCTCAGTTCTCCCCCCTGCTTACCCCTTGTGTTTTGAGTGTTCATGCACCCTCTTGAAGGCAGTGTGAAGTTTGCTGGTTGAATTACATCATCCCTAAAACCAGGTCTGAAGAACAGCGGCATGCTGTGGAAGAAGTTGCCTGAAAACTCTTTTTTTCTGGACATGCCATTGACCCTCAACCCTTGGATGGTGGCAGCCTTCTTTCCATCACAGGGCAGAGTTGAACTTTTTACCCTTGGGCCTGCATCAAGTTTGTGCACTAGGTTATGCCACCCCTGTCAGGTGGGGAAGGGCAAAGTTGGATTTTATTCAGGGATCAAGAAATGCTGGGAAAGTTGTAAGTTGGACTTTTACTGTATTGACTTATATCCTGGGCTCCTGGCTTCCAAACTGAAGTTTAATCTTTCAACGAGGGAACAACACAAGGCTTGGGGAAAAAGGGAACCTTGAAGATTTCATTTTTTCATTTCAAATTTAAATTTTTATGCAGAAAATTTAAAAAAATTCCAGGATTTTTCCCAACATTGCCCTGCACACACTATCATGGTTTTTTTTTTAATGCCACTCTTGAGTGCAACCAAAATCTGCAAAAAAGTCCAGCGTTGCCACAGAAGGGTTCAAGACTGACCTTAAAGATACACAAAAGTACAAATCAATGATGCATCCTTTTTAAATTTGTCATTATACACAAAATTCTCAATGCCATTCTCAATAAATGCCATTTTTTGGTGCCAACTTTATGTGCCTCAGGAACATATGTCCCAGTCCACATCAATCTACCTGTACACTGGGGGACTGGACACAACATTTGATGTGTAAAGATACACCTTGGAGGCACATGTAATTGACACATTTTTGACACTAAATGGTTTTTCTGGGATGAAACTTGCTGGGATCATGAAACTATTTACCATTCAAAAGGAAATTGAACAAGATTTCATTTGGTTTTTTTCATACCTGGATTTGCTACTGAGCTATTGTAAATTGAAACTTGGTTTACATTTTTGGCCCACAGTGTATATATGGAACAGAATTTTCCTTGGTTGACAGAGAAACCTTCCCTCAGTGAGATTTTATTGCTAAGCTCTAAAATGTGTCAATCATCAGTGAAGAAATGCTGCAAGAGAAGATATTCAACAGCTTCCCAAAAAAAATTTCTGTACATTCCAGCTCTTAATTTTCACTGCCAAAATTATTTGAAGAGTACAACTTTCTCAATAGTTGAACAAAAGGAAGCTGACGCACGCTTTTTCTTTGAAAATCTTTTTGATCTCTTCAGAAATGCGGCATTCATTGTTTTTCAATATTATCTCATCTTTAGATCGTTGGCTTTCAAATTAGCAAAAATACGAATTCACCGAATCTCATGTTAAAATTTCAGGCTGCGCATGATGAGTTGATGACGCAAAATTTTAAATCTTTCGCAAGAGGAAGAAAAATTTATGAAGACATTCTTTCTTCTCTGTCCAGTCTTCAAAAATGTCTCGTTTTCAGAAGACATAAAACAATGGTACAAAAGTTTTTGGAAGTATAAAAAGCAATGGTAGTTTTCGTACATTTTTTTTTCAATCTTGTCCGTGTCGCTCAAAAAAATGCAAACGCATATCATAAATTCCACTAATCCAAAACAAATTATTAAAAGTTACCCATCAAACCAGAAAATCGAAAATATCAGTTTCTCGCCGAAAATCGTGCCAGTTCTCGAAAAATACTTCACTTTATTTAAAAAAAAAAAGGTTTCAATTTAGGAACTCGCAACTGGAATCGGCGTCGGTTGATGCTGTCCATCATGGCCCCAATCGCTCATGAGTGGCTGCAAATCAGCCTCAATTTGCTGGGTTCTCTTGACTTCCAATAGTGTGGCATCATCATCAGGTAGTCCTTGCGATGACGACGAAGACGTTGAAACACTTGGAGGCTTGTGCCGATTTTTGGCAATCGCCACGGAATTGCAGAGTCTGTTGACCTCCGCCACAAAATCCCGACACATGAGGTCAATTTCCCGCGAGGATTTTAAGAATGAAGAATCTCCTTCGATGCACACTTTGGATCCTGATTCATTGTGGCTGATGAAAGTCCAGCTCAAACCTATGAGAAAAGAAATAAGGGGATTTTTAAATTGTCCGTGCCTAAATTATGGTAACCCTGATTACATATGAACTTTGTATCATCAATCAAAACATGCCAACCAATGAAACTTGATGAAAGAAATATTCTCCTAAATATCAGAGAGCCATATAGGAAAAAAGTTTAGCTTTATATTATATCTCCGAAAATATACTAGATCTTTCATCTCAAGATTTTTTTATGCAGTAATTTTTCATCAATTAAAAATTATCTGGGATAAAATGGAACTCCTTGTGATTTTAAATTAACCAAAACAATTATGTTGTGTGATGAAATAATTGACTAAATTTACCTCCTGTTGAGCCAGGACCAAAGTTGATCCACTGAACAGCTTCTGCAGCTTTTGGCGAAAGTGAACTCAGGTCCACATGTGTGACACCAAAAGTCCACTTGAAAGGCAGTGTCAAAATTTCTTCTGGTATTTTGTTGATTGTCATGAACATCAATTTCTTCCAACCCCTATTGAAGAAATAGTGTGATAAAAGGTTTTTTACAAGTTCTCTGAAAAGTTTTCATGCCTCCGGAATCAATCCAAATGCATTGTAAATGACAATACAGTGAGACCCCACATGCAGATGCATTGACCTGTTGACAATTCAACATAGGGACACTTACGTTCCCAGAAAAAATCAATAAATAAGGCCCAACATGAGGACACTGACTCAACGTAAGGACATTTTGTGATAAAATTGTAAATAAATTTAAGACCAGATTACAAGAAACAGATATTTACAACCCTAAAATTGATGTAAGAAAAGTTCTTGGGCATTTCTCTCACCAAATTACCATCCAATTACCTAATTTAAAAAAATTACCTCCAGCATAGAGGGACTTCTACTTTTTTCACTTGAATATTATTTTTGTAGATGCCAAAATTTCAGTGTACAGTACAGAGATACACTATTTAATGCTCCAAATGTTCTTATTGAGTTGAAAATGTATTCACTAACTCAAATTATAGTGGAAAAATTTTTTTTTTCAGGGAATTCTGAAGAATATTCCTTTCACAAAATACCAATTAAAAATGGTATAATGTAAGTATATGGGAAAACAAGACTTGACTTGGTGACATTCTGACTTGGGGACACTCTTGATGCACCAATTACGTCCGCATCTCAGGGTCTCACTGTACCATATTTTCAAGAATTTTGCAAAACATAATCAAAGGAAAACATTTTCAAGGAAACCCCAGTTCCCAAATTGTCCTCAAATCATAAGATCTGAGGAATATTCAGAAAGCCTGGACTGTTTTTCTCTGCAATAGATTTTATCACATCATGTAAACTCATGAAAGAGAACACACCCATTGTTTCCATAGTAATCCAATGTTGAAGATATGACCTTCATTCTTGTCTCTGGAGGACCATTGAGTGTTGGGAACCAGATCCGCCCTGTAGGACAGATGTCACCTCTGACACCAGTACAAGTTCCAGGGTTCATCAAAGCAGTAGAAATGTTGTCCAGGAGTCTGTTGGACCCATGCCTTTCATGGAATTCCTGGAAACTATGGCATAGTCCAACATGCAAAATATCTTCATTTCTAGCTCCATTCAGCTCTGCAATTTCTGTCAAGGTTGTTCCTGGGACACTTACCCTGACTTTTCCAAAGTTGTGCCACCTGTGAAATTGAAGATGATAATTTCCAGTTGATGCAAAATGGAGCCTAATGACACAGTTATGGAGCATAATGACACCACACAACAGATTTTTGCAGATCAGACCACCTCTGGAGGCAGTTTATCCTCTTGCATAACAGACAAATCCAAACAACAGACTTCAGTCTGTAGAAGCGCATGCTACCAGTAGACATGAGTCCCTTACATCCCCCCTTACCATGCTTCCCAACTCAATTTGAATAAAAAATTTCATTACTATTGCTGTGAATGTGTGTATGTTGTGTTTTTTACTTCTTTTGGTTGTAATCTTGCTTATTTTGCATAAGCGTAAACATATGGGAAAATGAAGTTTGCATAACAGGCTAGTCTCCTGCATAAATCAAGTACATTGTCTGGGGGTTGACTGTATATATGAATATGCCCCATGCCAACAGCATGCTTGACCCATTCAATAATTCTCATACTATATATACAGTCAACCCTTGCTTAACATTTTTAGTTGGTGCAGGGGAAAAAATTTTTGCTGAAAAAAATGTTAAGCAAGGTAGTCTCTCCCTTAAGATATACGGGAGAAACGTTCAATTGGTGTCAGGCAAAATTTTCTAAAGGTAAAATTCAGAAAAAAATAATGAAAGAGTGTATTCCAACAACTGAGCTTTATGCACTGCCATTACATTCAAAAAGTAACCCCAGTTCTTCATTCAATTGAAATCAGAGATTCATTTTAAACAAGGAAGGGTCTAAGTGTTACCCAGAATTCAGTGTGTGACACTGCAATTCTTCATAAAATAATTATAACACCACACCACCACACAGGAAACACATTTAAAGCTGTGGAAAAATTCACATTCAAGAAAANTCGGTGTCTTGAACCAGAGAATCCACTGCAGAATCGAGTGCCTTGAGCTGTTCCAATGGTGTCACCCAGAACCAAATGCCCCAGACCCTGTCAACACTGGACAACAATTTTTCCCTGAGCTTATCGCGAAATTTTTGCAAAAGACTGTCCCGCAGTTTTCCACGGAAAGCTGATGGCGAAACTGCGCCGATTTTGACGACAAGCGTCACAAGGGGACGGTTTCTCGCAGAATCGACGCTGGTTTGCAGGAAAAACGCGTTTTCTGGAGGCAAAATTGAGAATCGTCTCCTGCACTTTGATGCATTGCTGACAAGGAAAGCAGCGATGGGTTCCACCGAAAGCAGAGCTGCCAAGAACCACTGGAACGCGTTGAAGATGGGCTGAGAAGCCAGAAGTAGAAGGTACTTCGCATAAGGTATCACGATTTTCGGAGTGAACAGAGTATGAAATGGCCGATCCATTTTCAAAGTCGACCTTTCCAAATCTGCACACACGCAAAAAAGAAATTTTTACATTCAAATGGAATCAGACAAATGACTCCCGGAATAAAAACGAATACTTTTTCGGAGTGAACAGGACTCTGAAGGGCAGAGTACATTCGAAGANTTTACATTCAAATGGAATCAGACAAATGACTCCCGGAATAAAAACGAATACTTTTTCGGAGTGAACAGGACTCTGAAGGGCAGAGTACATTCGAAGAACACTAAGAAAAACTATTGTTGTACAGCGAACGACACCTACGCAATTCCAAACTTATCAACAATAACATCAATGCCTTTCGCGTCACTCAGATCTCAGCGTTTGCAGCAAATTCAGGTTCCGGTTGTATCCGTCACTCAAAGGAATACAGTACAGTGTAATCAATTTATTCTCAAGCAGGACAGAACCAGGCAATCATAAATATATATACCTAAAATATACAGTATTTGAGCAACAACAAAAACGAGCACCTAAAATTTGTAAGTTGGAAAGTGAATGCAAATATTCACCGCATCTTTCAATTATTCAACATATGTAATTGTTTTTAGCCTACCAAGGATTCTTAACGATTAAAAATAAACTTTGATAATTATTTATAAAATTTCAAAGAGATTGAAACCCCACATTCAGAAATTTCTAAAAAAAAAAAATGCTCTCATCACAAGGAATTTTTGAATACACGTGGACTCTCTGAAAAATGAAACGCAAGGAACCAGAAATACATTTGTTGCAGAGAAAATTTATCTGCAAAGAACCCCAATAGCATAGGTGAAGAATCCTACGTAGGATCAAAAAAACATTTTGCTACAGCATGCAGAGAAAATCGTTGTAGACAAAATGTTTCTAGAGGGAGTCCACCTGCATTTTCCAAAAAAAATTGTGCATTTTGAGACAGGAATGGCTAAAAAGATCATGGAACTTTTTATTCAGGATAATGACAAAAACGGTGGAATCTTCAATTCGCATCATCCTCAACAGTCAGTCGTTTCAGGAGAAAAAAATTAATGTACAGCATTCCATTTTTTTCCCCAGACCTCAAAAGAAAATGAACTTTCTCTTAAATTAAATTCAAGCAGTTTTCCTAAAGACTTAATGCGGTGGGGATACTTTATATATTGTATGAAACAATTCAATGCAAAATAAAACTGAAGAGAAACAGATGATACAAATTAGCTCAGTTAATTTTTCAGGCAATTACACTGCTTCCAGTACCCTTTTAGTTTTTACAATTCATCAAACAAAGAAGCTACTATGCAGAAGAAGTTTGCGAAGTAGGTCAAGAAGATAATTTCTCATAGAAAAATATTCACACAAGAGACAAAGGGCATTGTTCTTGAATGAATGGTAGTTATTTTTAAACCTTTCCCACACATGCAAAGCTTCAAAAGAATAAAGAAAGTGCAAAATGTTTATATTTATAAGGTGAACATTAGGTTTTAGAGCACTCAACAGCAGTTGGAAACTTGGAAGTGATATTACTCAACAGGTGCTATTGCAAGACTTTCTGGGGGCTGCCTGCTTACTGCAAGGCGGTTTTTCCTCCAAGCAGTCCATTGACTTCCTGGGTGTGATGTTGCAATAAAAATGCTTCATTCCTAAAGCATGTCTTATCATCCACAATGAACACTACCTATACTGTTTATGGACTCATGGAGTTAGCTAAATTAAAATCAAACCATTGTAAGAAAAAAAACTCAACTTTTTTGAATCCCTCTTTCAAACCCCTCAAATGAGAACCATCTACAACAGTTCCCCATCCTTTTTGGGCGTGCTGACTGGCAAATTTAAATAAAAATTTTTGCAGACCTGCAAATTCCTCAACACTTTTCTGCTGACTGGCAAAGTTTCACAAAATTTTTTGGAGACACGCAAAAGTTTTGCTTGAAAGACTTTAAGGCAGGTATATGAAAATTGCTGCCTTTTTTGCAAATATTCATGTATGCCTCAATGAAACATCAGCAACAGCTGAATTTCATCAAAGAAATAGAAATATGGGCTTCAAGAAAGGTTTTTCAGAATGAAAAACAAAACAAAATAATTCCAGCTGGTGAAAATTTGTCTGATTTATTATATGAAGAAAAGCCAACCTTTATTTCAATCAGATAATTTCAACTGCCATATGGTCCTTCAAACGTTTTTGGTGAAAGTAACAGACATCATCATCACTACTTTTCATACATTTATTATGCTGAAAATTTCTCATGGACTACTGGCAAGAAACTTCTGCAGACCATACATTGTGTAATACTTATATACAGTATTGAGCCTAAAAACCTCAAGTCTCCAAAAGTCAATTTTTTTTCAAGCCCTCATCCCCTTCTGGAAACAATGAATTTAAAACCACTCCAACTCCAAAACTTTTCCTCTCAAACCTGTTACTCAATTTTTCTGCAAGTTTTTTTTTCTACAGTATGTGGTTTGTGTAGAGACTTTAGATCCCCTGAATATAGTGTGTATACTGTATAATGAGAAACTAAATCCATTTAAAACCTTGCAATTGCATTGCAGTACTGTAGAATCTTTTTATGAAGAATAATGAATCAAAACCAAGTCCATTCCATGTCCCTAATTATCAGAAGCTATAATCTTGAGTTAATTAATTTTTTGTTTGAAAAACTATTTCACTGGTCTAAATGGCTTTGTTATATTCGATTTAACCGTTTTCCCATTCTGAAACCTGCATCAATTGCTCATTAAATAAACAAAAAATTAATAATATTGAACAGCAGCAGCAAAATAAACTTGAAGAAACCATCAGAAAAACAAGATGTATTCATTTACATACAGTACTGAAAAATTAATTATGCAAGCAACAACATTCCCCATTCAAGCACAACACGCAGCAACAATTCAGTTTCAAATAAACTGCTGCTGTATCACTTATCATAAATGCTATCAATCATCCAAAGAAAGACTCACTTTGTACAAGGTGTCTACAGCAAATATAACCACTACATATATATGGTATATAAATCCATTATATACACAGATACAATTCATTTTGAACCAAATCATTGTAGAGGAAGTCCACCTCATGTAAACCATATGGAAGTTGTACCTCAAAATTCAACCCACCTCAATTTGACACCATCCTGCAATTCAGCAGTCAAATTTGCAGGGAGCTATCTGACTTGCTATTTCAGTAACTTTCCGGTTATCTCAGAACCCATTTTTCTTTGTCTCGTGAATTCAGTATTTGTTAGGTTAGGTTAGGTCAGGTTATGTTAATTGAAAGATATTTTTAACTAACATAACCTGACCTAACCTATCTTTACCTAACTGCCTCCAAAAATCAGTTTCAGCAGAATGCAGAAAAATGAAATTCACAGTTCCTGGTAGGTGCACAGAAAGTAGGTACTGAGATAACAGGAAAGTAACATTCAAGCTGTTTTTCCCAATTTTTTGCCTTTTTGTACTGATATTTTTTTCTAATTTAGCAAGTGTCTCACAATTTGACTGCTTTATGCAATTTGACTCTAGTTTGACAACTGATTAGGGTGAAATTCAAAGGTACCACTTGTAACACTATATACACAGGCATATCCCAAAGTTCATTACACAAAAACCGCATTCATTTAAAACAGTCCATTATCCGAATCACCTCCTCAGAAAACGTTCTGAACAGGTCTGAGTCACAGACTCACGGTCACATCACAAAAATAATGATGCACTATGTTCAAGTTGACTTCTCACTAAAAAGACCGTAAAAAACTCGTTTCTAAACTATAGTGTCCTTTTAAAGAACTGCTGGTATATACCATGGAGAAAAATGAATCTAATCCAAGACCTACAGAATATTGATTATACACAGATAAAAATCGTTACTGACAAGATGGTTGTGGAGTAAGTCCACCTGCTGTTTGCAGGGCATCCCAAAGTTCATTATGCGAAAAACCTTATTCTTTTAAAGCAGTCCATATTACTCCATAATCCGAATAACCACCTCAAAACAATTTCTGAACATGCGCGATTCCTGATGATCTCATGGATTCAAATAAAACCATCACTCATAAAAAATCATCCAAACAACTCAATCATCGTCCACAACAAAATTCAAGCTACTAGAAAAAAATCGCCATATTGAACAAACTTTCTCCATGTGAACAAATGCTATGCAATATGCAGAAAATAACTCAATAATGCTGCAACTCATCTGCAATCAAGGAAAAAAAAAACCCTAAATACTAAGAAACTCACTGTAACAAAAGTCCACCTTTTTCAAAACTGTTCACTACTCAAGTGTACATATACACATGCACGCTGGCATCCCGCAGTTCATTCTGCGAAAATCTACTCAATTTCAAAAACATTCCATTATCCGAATCACCACCTCAGAAAAAAAGTACTGGACAGCATCATATGGCCTGAGTCGCGATCATTTGGGTCCAACTGCGTGCGTTTCCTCGGGGCCCCGAGCCGAGACTGCCAGGAAAAGTTGTAAAACGGGGAGAAAAAAAAATTAATAATAATCCTTGGAAGGAAGGGAAAAAGACCACAAAGAGAGAGAGAACCCGAATAGCCACACACACGCACGCACGCACATAAATAAAAAAAAAAAAAGAGAAAGCGTTTGCGCAATGCAGAAAAAACCAGACACACAGCTTTGTATAAGGGGGCAAGTTGGAGAGAGAGAGAGAGAGAGAGAGAAAACCCCAAGGACTTGCTCACTTGCCTGCTGCTGGTGCTGGTTATTGCAACACTTCTTGTGCCCATATAGTAAAAAAAAAATGTTATACAGTATTCTTCTCCTCATTTTCCCTTGGGTCAATCTACATAGGAATTGAGTAAATTTTACATCGTTTTCCATCCTTTCTTTTATTGTGATTCTTTTTTTAATTTTATTTTTTCATGGGTTGCACCAGAACGTTCTGGTGAACAAACAAATGGGGATTTCAGACTGC